GAATTTTTCATGACTTACTGATGGCCGGGAGGATAGAGTTTGTGTTATAGCGCTCAGGAATGGGAGGGAGACTTAATTGGTCCGTCATAGCTGGCTTAGCCGCGCGGATATTAATGTCGCCCGCAGTTTGGGGGATGGATATGGATGGAAACTGTGGCAAAGTTAATACGAAACTCCTCCTGTCAGGACTAAACCATTCAAAGTACTGTAGGGGGTGACCAGGATTATTACCTTCGCCAAGAAGGTTATGTTTTCGTTGGCGTTCGTGTGTCTGTGTGTGTGTGTGTGTGTGTGTGAGCACGATAACTCAAGAAGGCTTAGATGGATTGTCTTGATATTTGGTAGGTGGATAGGTCTTCATGAGACGTGGAACTGATTAAATTGTGGACCCCCTAGCGGCTTGTTATGGTACTGCAGCTGAACTTCTGGTTTTGATATCTCGTGATGTAGACATGCTAGGGTGACGAAATTGGGGTGGTAGGTAGCTCTTGTGCTGGGGAGGAAGTGGCATGAGTTTGGGCCCTCTAGCGGCTTGCTCTGGAACTGCAGGGGCGTTAGTTGAAAAATGTTTCAAGGCGGATAACTCAAGAACCGATTGATGGGTCGTCATGATTTTTGGCATGTAGGTAGCTGAAGTGATGCTTAACACGATAATATTATAATTATTCAAATGTTTATGTAATTTACATAATTAATGAGGAAATTCTATAAATCAGCTGCATTCCATGATAGGACTATTCAAGCTTGTGACATATGTAATTAAGAGCGGCAGAAATACAGGCAGATATCGATTATGCAAATGAAGACTTAATTTGCATAATTAATTAGAAAATGTTATACTTACATAGTGGTAACTGCCTGGAATTTCATACTTGGGATATTTGAAAGTTATGTGAAGGTGAACATAATTAAACATAACTTATTCAAAGAAGGACCTCATTTGCATAATTTATGAGGAAATGCTATAATGCCATTCTTTGATAAGATGAGACTGTCTTCTGGTGTAGAATATGATCAACAGATATAATTGATGCAATATAGGATCCTATTTGCACAATCAGGGGGATTAATCTATAATTTCTTAGTCATAAATGCTAACATCATTTGGCGAAGGTATGAGATCGTGGAACTCTAGTTTAATTTATCGTTGTATTTTCACATCCAAAACCTCCCAAATCTGTTGCGTTTATGTACGCTCATGATATTCTCATTCCATTTCTAGATGAGGAACAGCCTACTAATAATATATCTAATATTGGTCCATTCAAATTCTTTTCGGGGGGGGGGCAAGATAATGTGTATGAATGAATGAATGAGTGAGCGAGTGAATGAGTGATTGAGTGAATAGATGTATATGTATGGCCATGAGTTGTACGGCGTTCTTATTCAATTTATAGATGAAGAACAGCCTACTCAGTTCTCTCTCTGCATGTGTGTAGTTGACCTTGAGTTCTTACACAAAATACTGATCGTTTTATTTTAAAATTTCATAACATTACATCTGTCTAAATATGAAGCTAGATACATGCATGTTTGCTTGCTCATGAGTTCAAAAAGATATTCTTATTGAATAGCTAGATGCAGAACAACCTATTATTAAGCAGTTCTCTGTATGCGTGTAGTTGACCTTGATTTCTGACACAAAAGAATCGTTCGACCGAATAGTTGCTTTGACCTTTGACCCTGCGGCATGCAGAGGTGACCTTGAGGGTAAAAGTGTTCTGTTTATCGAACCTGATGTCTGTAACCATGGTAACAGTCCCGGGGGAAGTCTGATATGTCTGCTGAGGCAGACAGGAGACGATGTTTGACTGAACCAGTTCCCTATATCCACTTAAGTCTCGACTGGGCCGGCTGGAAATTTACGGAAATGGGTTTATTATGAGGTTTTGCAGCAAAAAACATTCGATCATCGTGGGAAGACGGCAATAGGAAATTGTGTAATGTATTATTGTGTCAGTTTAGAAAAATTAAATCTTGTAGGAAGAACAGAGTTCTGAAACTTGACGGATTGCTTCTGAACTTTGCTCTAGTTTTAACTACGACAAATTCTTAAAAGAAAGAAGATGATGGAATCACATCATGCTTCATCATCATTAATTGTGTTTTGTAGCTGCAACTAGCATTGAAATACATTGTATTTTAACGTGTGAACAGACATTGCAATAAACCCTAACCTATGATTTTACAGTACACAGCATATAAATTCTAATCTCCCACCCTCTACTGGTCATAAAAGACCCACATAAAAGCACATGCGAGCAGGAAGCAACCAAGTTTTTTTCTTGGGCTAAAATGTGGCTGAATTTGATAGGCGAATGATCGAACTCCTTCGGCAAGTTATTCTCCCTATCTTGACCAATATCTGCTAAATATGTATCCATACACCTAGCCAGCTGCAGGAGGGCAGTTGGTGGAGAGAAGTACCTTGTAGCAATTTCACTTCAAGCCAATACAATTTTTACTGCCTGGATAAAACTGAAATGTCAGCAAAACGCAGGAATGAAACTGCAATCTTGGTTAGCAAAAATGCAGGAATCGTCTGCAAGGCATCAAGCCTAATACTGACCCTACCCTGACCCCTCTCTACGAGCGGAAGATATCACGGAGTCGGCCCATTTTGGTTTTATTATATTTTACTGCTCCTCAGGCTGGGAGAGGAGGCTGCACATTCCGCAGGCAGTCACGACTGCAGGATTGTACGTGTGTGAGGGTCTGCATGGGGGGACCCTGGCAACGCAAAACAGTTCTGACGATGACAATGAAGTTATTGCATATCCATGCCCAACTGGGACTAAATATATTGTCACATACCTAGATTACAATAAGAAAGCTATGCTATATATATATATATGCTATCTTTTATCTATATATAGGATGTACATGCTCCTTGTCTCTTTGAAAACGTGTAAAGGAATTAACAGTAACTTCAGGATTACCGGTAACGCTTAACGGTAAATTTAGGACGACGGCAACCCTTAGCGGTAAATTGACGCGCATTTCGTGAAGCACTGTGCTATATTTGGGTACCTTAATTGGTTAAGCTAGGCTGCAAAGTTTAGAATTGGGCAATCTGGCGTTCCGACATGGCGATACGTAATTGTCAATAGCGTTTAACGATAAATTCTACAACTACCGTGTTACGTGAAATGAAAGTGGCCAATTAAGTTTCACAAATATCAGATTCTGTATCTGTATCTGTATCTGTACAGCAGGTATTATCGCCCTTTGGCGTAACACACCACTTCGCAGGCACGCGACGCGGCGGCAGCTCTGAGCTTAATTTGCCGAGTAATTTGCCGACATCGCTTAACGTTGAATTATAGAGAGGACTCGCTGCTATAAATTTAACAAATATCATGCCCGCATGCAGACCCTCGTGCGATGATAAACCCAGAACGACGTGACCTATAGGAAATCAGCCACCCCGTCCGGGGGCGATGTGAGGACATGGGTTATTGGATTCTCGTTCGGTGGTCCTGATGCTGTAGTCTCCACCAGGCTTGTTTGGGCAGTGCTGACAAAATAGGCGGAGAATTAATTTTCATTTTAATGAAAGTTCACAGTGACTGTAATTGGCATTATAAAAAGAAAAGTGTATATGCTATCCCTGCACAGAAATCAATCTATACTTCATTGATTCAAGATTTAGGTTGGTTTTGCTAAATTATCAGATTACTTGTGTTGAGTTGCACATACGGGTGGGCGTTGCATTCATTCATAACTCGCTTATTTCAGTTCTATCAACAACCAATAGCCACACTCAGAACGACTAAAACAAAGTTCCAACAGTCGGCAAAGCGTGCAATTGTGCAGATGTTACAGACAGATGTTATGCGTCTGAGGTCTAAGAAATTGACCCGGTTCCACATCCCGGTAGTTTAACAGGTTACCTCACTCGCTGGATGGCCTTTGACCCGTTTTGCTTACAACTGGTCTGCAAATTGTGGACTGCAACATGTCTTCATTACTGAAGGAACTTAAGTCTCGATGTCGCCTTTCTAGTTCCTACATACCCACAACCATGGACTAGTACCTGTCTATATTATAAAGAGACCTAACATCGGTGATTTTCAGACCTGTTTACAACCAGACACCCTGCCCTTACCCCAGTGACCTCATTGTTTGTTTAAGGAGGATACAGGTGGCCAGGGATGTGCACATAACTCCAGGTCAGTGTTTCTATCTTGTTATGATTGCTTGGTTTATATATTAAGCAAAATGCATGCGTCGTAGGGAACCAGAAGAAACTGCGAAAGGCCATCACATATTGTGGTACTCTACAATTTCATAATAATACGTAAAAAGACTTTATGTTCTACCTAGAAATATCTAGACATGTGTTGTAAGGAGTAAGGTAGGCTTACCTTTCTTTGAAATATATTTAATGAGCAAAACTCATGTATTAACGGAAGGTACGTATACGTAGCCTGCTACATCGGACCTGAATGAAAGTTCCCCTCCCCGTGACCATGACCTTTCAACTTTGAACACCTCCATCTCGTGTACAAATACAAATACAAATATGGACATTGACCTGGCTAGCTATAGAGCCGTCTATTAAAATGGCTAAACTCGCAGCCACACTACAAAGGTGTATAACTGTGCTCTACTCCTTCTAGTCAAAAATTGGTGATTTTGGTGAGTACAACATGGATTTAGTTTTCGTAACTGGTAGAGATTTCATGTGTCACATACTGGTACTCTCCAAGCAGAGGTTTGGGTTTTGGGGTATTTTTAGCGTGTTTTTAGGATTTGCACTGAATTTTTTTCGGGTTTGGTGGGAAAAAAATTCAGTGCAAAAGAGAAACCCCGATAAAAAAGCCTAAAAACACGCTAAAAATACCCCCAAAACCCAAACCTCTGCTTGGAGAGTAACATACCGGGGCACATACTTGCGTCTCTCCACTACAAGGTGAAGAGTCGTAGTAGTACTCATTTCTAAACGACTAATGTAAATGGCATCACATTTTCCTTACGTAGGGTTCTACAATACAAAGATGAAGAGGCTGCAGTACCGTGACGAGCCGCCAGACGGCGGTTGGGGCTGGATGGTTGTTCTGAGCAGCTTCCTGTCGCACGTCTTCGTTGTGGGCGGCTTCAAGTCGTTCGGCGTCTTCTTCCCGTACTTCCGGGAGGAGTTTAGCGAAGACGCCGCCAACACGTCTTGGGTCAGCTCGATACAAGGAGCCGTCGTCTTCTTTGGATGTAAGTCTCGGTGTTTTTAACATCCCAACGCACAAAGCTGCAATCTATCATTTTGATATTTTTCAATCTTTGGATGCAATGCTTGATTCTCTTATTCAAAAAACATTCAAATATGCCATACGAATGACGAAGTAATTAATAAGTACATGTAGATGGCATCTGAATGTGTCCGTCTTATAGCTAACTTGAACGTTAATTATACCGCTAGTTACGATCTTTTGTCTCTGACGAAAAACAAAAGAATCTGATGAATCTGATGAACAGAATCCACTAAGGAGAAGAGAACGAAACGCAATATTTCATCTTGGACATTTTATACAATACCACATACCATTACTCACTTGTCTATCGTCTCATACGCCCCTTGTTCTAATAATTTGACCGTATGTTGGGGCCCCAACCAGCTGTCTCCACCCGGCCTTTTCTGTTTTCTGTTCTTAACATTCAAGTGCCGTGCCAGCTCATTCTCAGATATTATCCTGTCATATTTTTTGTTGTCTACCGTTCTTTCTTCCTCTATCTTCCTCGCCTTTAACCACTTTCGACGATAGCGATGATATCGAAACATCCCTGTTCGTTCCCGTCCTGGCAGCGGGTCTAGCCGGAGCCTTGGGGAACCGGTTCGGCTGCAGACCGGTGGTGATGGCGGGAAGTCTGGTGGCCGCGGCAGGCCTCATCTCCAGCATGTTCGTCACTTCCATGGCAACCATGTACGTCACCACCGGGCTCGTCACAGGTACGTCATGACGTCACACATTACGTCACCACGGGGCTCGTCACAGGTACGTCATGACGTCACACATAATTACGTCACCACGGGTCTCGTCACAGGTACGTCATGACGTCACACCACGTCACCACGGGGCTCGTCACAGGTACGTCATGACGTCACACATACGTACGTCACTACGGGACTCATCACAGGTACGTCATGACGTCACACATACGTACGTCACCACGGGACTCGTCATAGGTACGTCATGATGTCATACAAAAGTACGTCACCACGGGCTCGTCACAGGTACGTCATGCATAAGTACGTCAACACAGGTTTGGTCATAGGGGCTTCATATACATGTATGTCTTACATACATACAGACGCCACCGCAGGCTTAGCTAAGGCTACATCACATAGAAATAAGGGTCCTCTAGGGGTTTCGGGTACCTGCCCTGTACGTCGGTGCGCGTCTCTAAGTATGCTGGATGTCCCTGTTGTGGACCAACGACGTTTTGTTGCCTAAAAAAACCTACCAGTTCTGATGTTCCTGTTCTCTTGCAGGTCTCGGCTTTTCCCTGATGTACACGCCGTGTATCACTATGGTGGGGCTGTACTTCAACAAAAGACGTTCCCTCGCCACAGGTTTTTCTGTTTCCAATAACAATATTACCGGTAAACTGCATTGAGCCGTAACACACGAGTTTTCGATAAACGACGTTCTGCAGTTCCAGAACAATCTACTTGGGGGCCCAAATTGATCTCACTTCTTCTCGAGCAATCTACCATTCAAAATCAGTGAAGTTTTTATTTCCCAATGGCAGAACATTGGAACATGCTAGGGATTCGAACGCAGAACCTTTAGATTCTAACTCTACAACCCTAACAAGCCTCTACCAATTCGGAAGCGGCTGGAAAGAGTAGGAATTGGCCAAATAGACATATAACACCATGTGCGGAATATTAGCGGATCAACAACTAATTCCAGTCGCTTCCGAGGCCTGGTTGAGGCAAAACCCTAACCACAAGGCCACCTTTCCCCTTCCCCAGGTATCGGCGTGTCCGGTGCAGGAGTCGGTGTCTTCGTCTTCCCGCCGCTCTTCCAACTCCTCATCGACAACTACGGCTGGAAAAACGCGCTGCTCATCTTTTCTGGGATCATGCTGAACGGCAGCGTGTTCGGGGCGCTATTGAGACCGCTGTATTTGAAGAGTACTCTCACATCAGGGACACTAGAACACCAAGAAAGCCACGAAGAAGAAACAGTTGGAGTGTGTAGCCGTGTGTCAAACACCTTCGGGTTTTATCTTTTCAAAGATCCGTATTTTGCCGCCTTTTCCTTCTGTCAGATTCTCATCAGTTTCGGAGCGTTTGTGCCGTTTGTCCACTTGGTAGCACACGCAAGAGACCTCGGGATAGAACCGCAGCCGGCAGCTTTCTTAGTTTCTGTTATCGGCATCACAGATATGCTTTCCAGAATCGGGTACGGCTGGCTTTCCGACTCTGGACTATTCGTTAGGATGAGGGGATACATCGTCTGTGTCACTGGCTTCGGGCTTTGCCACATCTTCGTCCCGTTCGCCCACACGTATGCCGGGCTGGTGGCGTACTGCCTCTTCTTCGGGGCCTTCCAGGGCTGCTGCCTGTGCCAGGTGGCGGTCATTCTCGCCGACATTTGCGGAGTGAAGAGACTGGGCAGCGCCATCGGCCTTTGCTACACCGTCACAGGCCTGGCGCTACTCTTCGGGCCGCCAATGGCAGGTAGGTATAGGACACGACTGTATCGTTTGTAACACAACAAGGGTGCTGTGACACGTTGATCGGCTTAACGTTAACAATGTCAATGATCGGAAATATATCGGCTAGTCTTCATCCCCACTCTCTCCTTCTGTCTATATACATCAGGCTCCCCTCTTTATATCTCTCTATTCGTATGTGTATACATATATTTCCCGTCTTTCAGTCTCTGTGTGTCTGTCTCTGTCACTCTCTAAGACTTTCAAAGTCTGGCATTATGATCTATATCTTTTCATCTTGGTATGATCCTCGAGTTTTATAATGTACAGTAGTGAGCGATATTCTTTGAAAGTGAAGAGCAGGTATAAATCGTAACATATCACATCAGGAATTGATGTATGACTCGTTGTCTGACGACAACACTTGTTTATTGTTTGTTTGTTTGTTTACGTTTTCCAGGCCATTTGTTCGACGTGACGGGGAACTACCAGGTGTCTTTCTGGGTGTCCGGTGGGCTGGTCCTCCTCAGCCTGCTGCTGCTGCTTCCCGTGGAGTTCCACCGGACCGTCACCGCCAGACAGGATCCCGGGGTGTTGGATTCCGCCACAGACGACACGGACGGAGGGTACCGTGTGCTGAATCACACGGATGGGCCGGAAAAGGACAGAGACGTTTTTACATCCGAGCTTTCCACGCCATTTATTGACAGGGAAACCACTGTCTAACGCTAAAAGCTCTAGACAGGATCCCGGGGTGTTGGATTCCGCCACAGACGACACGGACGGAGGGTACCGTGTGCTGAATCACACGGGCGGGCGGGAAAAGGACAGGGACGTTGTTGCATCCGAGCTTTCCACACCATTTATTGACAGGGAAACCACTGTCTGACGCTAAAAGCAACCTTGGACAAAAGTAGTCAAAATTGTGGATCGTGTGGCGTAGCAGCAGCGTGCTCGACTTGGAACCAAGAGGTCCCGGGTTTGAGTCCAGACATGCCACCGATCTTGTGTCCTTGCTATTGGGAAAGGCACTTTACTCGCGCTCGACTTTCCTCACTTAAATCAAGTGAAAATGAGTATTGCCTTGTTCTGTATTCATCCTCTGCGTTGCTGGCGGCATAAAATAAGTTGATATAACTTGAGTGTACTGTCACCATGTCTAGTCATGAGATATGAAAAACAAGCTAGTCAAAATGCGAAACTTGGCCAAATGTTATTCCACAAATCCAACAGGCTGCTGAGGTGTCCCCAGATTTGCACTTCGGCACCTGCCATAGAGGCAGGCCCCGTACAAGAGCCATACGTTTGCAACCCTCCACGTCTATACATCAATGTACCTCAAAATGAAATAAAAAAAAAACATTGCTTGAAATGTAATCTTGTCGTCATTCAGGGCTTTAAAAATAGGAGAGGGCCTGCAAGCCCTTTTTCGTAAGGCGTAATCAGGCCGTTTTAGACTTCGTAATTCGCAGGCAGCCTCCGCAAAAATCAACGTAATTCGTAATTGGACATTAGCCGCAAATCGTAAAGTCGTAATCAGCTCTGAGACTTTAACGTAATTCGTAATAGGCGGCGAAATTTTGCGTGATTCGTAATCACTACACCCCCCCCCTTGCAGGCCCTCATAGGAAGCAGGCTAAACAAGAGTGATTGTGTATATCTTTGATACACAAGACTGACTGGTTACGGGTTCGATCCGTGTCATTCCAATCCTTGGGAAAGGCACTTAAGTCCATCCAGGTGTAAAATACTACGGTACCTGGCTTAGGTTAGTGGGGGGTGAAGAGGGATAGATTCCGCCTTTCACTGATGCCGTCCCCTAGATACAATGGATCATCAACCCACCCTCCATACGGCCTGGGGCTATGGGACTACTTTTACCCTTTACCTTTTACCTTAGTTGAACTGCAACTGCTATCTTTGGAGTGGTGTTTCAACAAGGGCAACCATTTCGAGTTGGTTGAGCCTATTCGACTTTCACGGATCGCATAAACTGCCTACGTCACAGGGGGGACATTTCGAAAGAACGTCGTTCTAGAACGCTGAAGTCGAACACGGCTTGCGCTCGTGGTGTCCCCCCTGGCAGATCATTTTTTTACTAAAAGGTAGGTAAGTGTCTATTTTCTAGGTAATATATGCGGAAATGACAGGAAAATAGGCACCAACTTTGTATGGTAGCAATCCGTACAACAATTTAAGGTTATTTTGTTCTGTGACGTATGCAGTTTATGCGATCCGTGAAAGGAACTTTCGAAATGTCCCCCCTGTGACGTACTTTCTATTCGAAATGCCCCCCCCCCTGTGACGTAGGCAGTTTATGCGATCTGTGAAAGTCGAATGGGTCTATTACATCATGAACTACGCAAAGCATTTCTGGACGTTTTGTTGGCTTTTCTTTGGTTATCATAGCTAAAAGAAAGGCCGACAGAATAAAGGTCTGCATGACAAAACGTCTAGGAAAGCTTTTTAAAAGTCCGAAAACAGGCCTAACCTCTGCTTGGAGAGTAACGTAAACAAAGTGTGAACTATTCAACTGCTACCTTCTATATGACCTTTGGACTTAGTTTGTCGCCAGCTAAGGTTAGAATTTACCCCAGTCTGCCGTTCACCTTACGTCATGACAAAATGGCTGCGTCTGTAGAGTACCGGACTATTGACACCTGATCTGTACGTGACGTGGCAGAAAAGGTGACCTTGTGGCGTGATGGCTGCCACCTGAGTGAATCCGGCTAGCCGAAGGTATGTCATGACTTTGTGGAATCTGTATCTGTATCTGCATAGATAGTATAACAGTCATTCGGTGTAATATAACCACTTGTATCTGTATAGCCGGTATAACCGCCCTTCGGCGTAACACACCAGCTTCCGTATCTTTGTAGTCGGTATAACTGCCCTTCGGCGTAACACACCAGCTTCTGTACCTGTGTAGTCGGTATAAACTCCCTTAAGCTTCGGCCTAACACACAATCTCCTCAGGTATCTGTAACTGTATGGCCGATATAACCACCCTTCACCGTGACACACCAGCTTCGTAGGCACATAGTGGGTCAGCATATGGCCAAGTTATATTATACCGAACGACCTGTCACACCTAACCTCAGTCGCACATCTGACCACAACTTGTATCAAGCTGTCTAGTGAGGATGGCAGCAAGTTCCACTCTACAATAGTAAAAAGGAAAATAATTTTTTTACCTTCCCCTAAATTGCCAGCTCCCTGACAACCAGAAAAAGGGACTTTGTACCACCAACTAGGGCAAAGCCCCCCCGGCCAGGACACTGCATACGAAATGACGCAATCATCGAGCTCAAAGTCCTGACAGCCCATACGAAAACTTTTACTAAATCCTTTCTCCAACAGGCGATTTGTCTTTACGGTGACCTCTCCCTTAGATTGAGGAATTGTACTCAATTTAGTATTTGAATGTTTGTTCAAACCCGAAGAAGGTTGTCTGTAGTAACACAAATTCATCAAAATGGTCTTTATTATGTTAGAGCACAGTTCGCTCTGGCGAGGCCAAAAGGACAATGGTTGGTGGATGTTGATCACTGTTTCCTTCCTGTCCATTACAGTTACACCATGTGATCACGTCACCAACAATTATCTACAACATGGCCAAAAAGAGAAATGTGCAGTACCACGATGAGCCGCCAGACGGCGGTTGGGGCTGGTTGGTCGTCCTGGCCACATTTCTGTCGCACGTTTTTGTGATTGCAACGTTCAAGTCGTTCGGAGTGTTCTTCCCGTACTTCCAGGAGTCTTTCGACCAGGACGCGGCCTCCACAGCCTGGGTTAGTTCCATCATGGGGTCCGTCACGCTCTTTGGGTGTAAGTATCCAAATATTATTTTCCTTCATCATATAACTTCTGAATTACACAGTGAATGAAAGTATGCATTATATACATGGTATGTTCATTATTGTTGTCGCTGACTTAGATTAAGATTATTTTCAGTATGTTCTTACGACGCAAAATACTCTGTGGACGAAGATTCCATCACTGATCTGTTATCATGTCATATCTGTTTCCTCCCAGCCCTACCAGCGGGCGCCCTGTGTAACATGTTCGGCTGCAGAGCGGTGGTGATGACGGGCAGTCTGCTGGCCACCACAGGTCTGCTCTCCAGCATGGCCGTCACCAGCCTGGCCGTCATGAACCTCACGGCTGGCTTCATCACAGGTAAATCAAAACTTAAAGGGAGAGCCCACAAATCAAAAGAAATATCAGTGCAATCTACTGTTATGATCGCATTTCCGTCAATGTTTGAACGCATCGAACGACACTCGAAAGCGTCGAACGACATTCGAACGTGTCGAACAGCATTCAAACGTGTCGAACAGCATTCGAACGTGTCGAACAGCATTCGAACGCGTCGAACAGCATTCGAACGCGTCGAGCACTCGAACGCGTCGAACGACATTCTGGGGCGCGTCGAACAACATTCGAATGTTGGAACTTGTTCAAAAATTATTTAAATTTACCTTCCTTTCTCCCTCTTTCCCTTCCAGGTATTGGTTTCTCGCTCATGTACACGCCGTGCATAACCACGGTGGGAAGATATTTCAAGAGAAGACTGGCGCTTGCCAATGGCATTGGGATATCAGGATCGGGACTGGGAGCCTTTGCTCTGCCTCCTGTGTTCCAGTTGCTGATCGACGAGTACGGCTGGAGGGGTTCCCTCTTTATCGTGGCAGGCGTCGCCCTGCAAGGCTGCGTGTTCGGGGCCTTGTTACGACCAATCAGCCTGAGAGCAGACATTCAAGAGAAAAGTACTCACGTAACTGATGAACCAACTTCCAGGAATACAAACCGTGGACCACTAGCACGTCTGTGCGTTGCTCTGGACCTCTCCTTGTTAAAAATGCCGTATTTCGTTGTTTTTAACATCATCATGATGTTTCTGGTAGTAGGCTTTGGCATTCCGTTTGTTCATCTGGTAAAACACGCCAGAAACGTGGGACTGGAGCCTCAGCAAGCTGCATTCCTGGTCTCGGCGGTGGGCATTGCCGACTGCTTGGCTAGAATCGGGTACGGATGGTTGTTCAGCTTGGGTCTGTATCCTCTCCTTCGTGGGTTCGTGGTTTGCAGCCTGGGTCTCGGGCTGTGTCTGGTGTTCTTGCCTTTTGCACAGACGTACCAAACTATGGTGATCTGCTGCATATTTATCGGTGTATTTATGGGGTGCTTGTCCACGAAAACGGCGGTGTTTCTGGCGGAGTTCTGCGGAGTGAAGAGACTGGCGAGTGCTGTCGGCATATCCTTTGGTGTCCGAGGGTTCACCATGCTCTTGAGTCCGCCTTTTGCAGGTAACCCTAACTGTCGTAATGTCACACTACTTTGTAAGATATTGACCATTTAAGCTGGATCAGACTTTTCTTTGGGTAGAGTCATACTTTGTGCCTTTATGACAGATATACCTACTATCCAAATGCTATGAAAGCAAGATGTTGTCAAGAGATATTGTTAGTTAACTATTTTCCTACCAACTACATACCCTCTGTAAATTTTAACTTGTTTTTTTTTTAATGGTTTGAAGGTTATCTGTATGACGTCACGGGGAACTACAACGTGTCGTTCTACGTCGCGGGGGGTAGCGTCCTGTTCAGCAGCTTGATGACGTCAGCGCTCGAGTTCCATCGCACAAGGAACGTGCAACGGCAGAACCTCGACATGCCAGGATCGGAAGACATGACTAGAAAAACGCTGTCTAATGACACAGACGAGAAAATGGACCGTGATGACAGCAATGTTCTTCTTATCTTTCGCGAGACCAGCGTATAAGTTTGACATTTGACAGGGTAAAATGTGAAAACATTTGACAAGGTAAAATGTGAAGCAATACCATGATCAGTGTTTATTTCCAAAGCCCTGGAAAACTGGTATGTTTCCCAGAGCACATGTATCTTGCAAAGTATCTTGACATTACACTAAAAGCCAATATTTTTAAAAACCTACCTTCCCAACCACTTTTGTTAATTTTACAGAGGAAGCATTGAAATTGTTCTAGATGTGTTTGACGTGTTTTTCTTATTTCTGTAAGAGATAACTCTTTACTGTCTGAATTTATTATGTATTAAAGCCAATCTATTGGCCTCGATTCGGACAGTTTTATCCTAGTGGGAGCTTTTGAGTGCATTCTACTCTAAACACCTGCGTGCAGTGAGGTATATCAGACCCTTCCAGCCTTTCAGGCGCTCGGTACCTCTAAAGAGCAGGGTGTCGTTCTGTACGTCAGTAAAGCCACTGTTCCTGACGGTTTGCAGGATGTACGCGGCGTCCAGGGGAGTGTGCCGGTAGCTCCTGTCACCGTCGGAGCAGTGAGTTGTCCCCAAGTCGCAGACCAGGATCAAGGTTCCCCCGGGCTTCACCAGGGAGCCCACGTTAGAAACGATCGCGTCAAACTCGGCCCTGAAGAGACAAAAATGGAGTCGTTGAAGAGGTTCATCAGTCACGTAAAATTAACAGTTAGTAGAATATTCTTCAATCAGTGACTGTTTTTGAAAGGTGGCGTCGGTGGCGCAATGGTTAGAGCGTTGGTCCCAGGTTCGATACTCACCGTGGCCCTACGTTGTGCCCTTGGGAAAGGCACTTTTCACGACTTCCTCGCCATGTACGGTGGAGTGACGCCCACCGAGCCTCTTAGGCTAATTGTCTAACTGGGTGCCAAAAACACCCTACGAATTTGGTGCGCCAATGTGTCAACAACAGCACATTTGCGACCAAGAGCCGTTAAATTTTAAAGGTAGAAACACGTACTTTCAGATTTGGAGGTACCTGTTTCCACCTTTCAAAAATAGTCACTGAATGAGGAATATTCTACTAATGGTCATAGAAATTCCCCGGACTTACAAAACACCAGGTATGGGAAATGATAAGAAAATACGGTAAAAACTGTGCAGGTAATTCACATAAAAGTTTTGTTCTCCAGAACCTGAGTGTCAATTTTTCGCCAAAATGTAGCGTAACTGCTCATGCCATGCGCTTAGGTAGAAGGAGGAGGTTGAAGTCTAATAAAGTTTTTGTCTTTTATGAGAAAAAAGTTTAAGAGCTGATGAGTTGTCAAAGCTGATGAGTTATCAAACATCTTTCTGAGTTATCAAAGTTGTCACTTTTATGACGCGGACACGATTACAAGTGTCACATTGTGAAAACTTATCGGAGAAGGTCCGATGTTCTGCGTGCATGTATTAGTTATTACATACTTGTCCTTCGCTGCTCCACATAATGCAAGGATACTGCTGACGACGTCATACGGACCACCGTTGAAAGCTCCCAGTGGATTCTTGTCCCTGACGTCACAGAACACCACGTGTTGGATGGCGTCACGCAACGCCTCCTTGCGGGCTTCCCAGTCTCTGCAGATGAAGTCAGAAAGCATCACTGCATCATATACGTACACTGCCCACGAAGATAGAATCTGGTCTATGTGGACAGGTAACATAAGACAACGAGTCTTATTGGTTGTGGAGAAAATCTATGGGACGACCAAAAGGTGCTCACATTGGCAAGGTAGTCCCCATAGTGGTCACTGTAGCTGGATGTAGTTAAAATGTAATGCCCACACGAGAAATATGCTAAGGTATCAAGCAAAAACATGTTACCGAATGTTTTCTACGTGTTTTGTTTTCTTTCAATGTTATTTCCAAGGTGTCGCCAAAGTTTGGTTCTTCTATAGGTACATGTAACTAAGCCATTTGGATACTCACTCCTCCCCTTCCAGTCCACACACATATTTGATGAAAGGGTCCCAGTCGAACGCGTCCTCCTCTCCATGAATCCACCTCTCAACCTCTTCCCTGTTTTCCTGAAAGACAAGGCGAGGTACAAACTCAACGCACTTCACCTCCTTACCCAGTTTTAAAATGTTTTCTTATTTGATATTTCTGTGGCAAAATGGTATCTGTTGCCGGCCAAGAGTAGGCCGTTTTTCCAAGGGAAGATCTGCTTGGAGATTACAGTAATTTTCTTACCTGACAGAACTCTGCACATGTGATGTCCGGGAAGTGGCGGGCGGCAGATATCAGGTTGTGGATGGCGGGGCCGGTCCCAACATCCAGAAGCCTCTCACCAGACAGCTTACCTACAGATAGAGCAGTAGGTACACACGTGTTAGTTTGTACTGATAACGAAGATTATAGTTACAGAGAACCAAAACCCAAGAAGGGTGTGTGTTCAAGTGCCTGTAACAGTGTCTGTCAAATCAAACTATAGTATCAACATCGAGGCCCATAATCAACCTTCGTTAAGACGGGACGGAGGCCGCTATGGACTTCCAACCAAGTCGCCGGGAGATCACGTGTTCTGAGCAGTCATCTATCCTGAAGAAGACCAGAGGAACGGTCGGAATTCCGGCGAATCTAATCTTTTGGGTGCGTTTTGGAAACAGTTGAAATATTCAACAGTAAAACTAGTAGTACGTGTATGTACTCGTGGAAAAGTATTACTAGTATCATCATTCGTGTAAAATTTCTCACCCCCCGCGAAGGTGTCCTTCAGGTTCTTGAGTAGCCATGGCAACCAGTCCTCGGGAGAGTCAGGTATCCCATCAGGCCTCGCGCGGTAGTTACGCTTCAGGTAGCCTTTGGCGTTGAACGTGTCGCGATCGTAGGAGGATATTTTTTTCTATCAAATTGAGCAGACAAATGAAAGAGAGTAATGGGCCGTTTTAATTCTACGTAGAGCGTAATTGGCGCATTTTGCGTAGAGCGTATATTCGCCGTTTTAATTCTACGTAATGCGTTGTAGCCACTTGGAATTTATCGTTAAGCGTAATCCGAATTCAGCGTAGAGCGTTGTCGGGACCCCCCATGCAGGCCCCCCTAAAAGGGTACTTTACAACAGCCCTGTCAGACTTCCGTTTGAAGAACGGTTCAGGTTAACAGTAAAATAGTAGTCTCCATCAGACTTCTTTTGCAGGCTGAATAAATCGTAGAAATCGGCCTAACAAGGGTATTAATTGGACTAAAAAGGCTCTTAATTGACAGGCCAAGTTGGTCGTCAATGGCCTGCTACCTTCTCTCGCCAATTAATACCCTTTTTAGGCCCATTTTGACGATTAATTCAGCCTGCAAAAGAAGTCTGGTGGAGACTAGTAAAATAGCATGTTAGATCCTGTTTACTATAGTGACATTGGCCTAGTGACCCCATTTTCTGCATTCCATGTGTATTGCATTTCTCTGCAGATCTGACCTCCTTCGTTACCCGCAAGGTTTCATGATTCACATTTTGACAAATTTCAGGATACCCTTTTCCCATTTTCCACTGTAGTCACAATACATTACATTTCTTCTGATCAGTTTTTCCATCGAATTTAACGTTACACAATGTCACATTTCAACACCAGATAGGCTAAAAGGTCTAGACCCCTCGGCCGAGTCAGATGGTAACGCCTACAAACCCCCCACTGTTACAAGTGCAAAGAAGTTACAAACCTGTTCAGATACCATATTCTCGCGATCAGAGACTGTAGTAAAATTCTTACTATGTTGAGCAGTATCTGTAAGTGTTCTCTCCGACACTCAAGAATGAATCTCACGCCGGAGGAATTTTCTTGACCGTATTCTGTGAGGGCCTGCATGGGGGGGGGGGTATTGATTACGAATTACGCAAAATTTCCGCCAACGATGATCATTACACATTACGTTAAAGTCTCAGAGCTGATAACAACTTAACGCTTTGCGGCTAATGTACTGTTACGAATTACGTTGATTTTTGGAGAGGCTGCCTACGAATTACAAAGACTAAAAAGGCCTGATTACGCCTTACGAAAAAGGGCATGCAGACCCCTTCAGTGGTTCTACTACAGTGACAAGTTTGTAGGAGGGCTTAGAGGTCTAACATCTGTCTTCTATTACTGGTGCGTGACCTTGGTATGCGCCACGTGACATGTCCGACGGGTCTAATGAAAGACCGGTTATGATAACTGGGGCACAGTTCTTGTTGTCTAAGGCTAACGCGTACAAGCAGGAGTGCCGTCTGAAGCTGCACATTAACGACTAAGCTCTGCTTGCTGATTCAGAAGTAAGACCCAGGGTGCTCAACAAAGTAAGACAGTACGCTCTGCTCTCTGATCGCGAGAATATGACATCTGAACAGGTTTGTGCATTCTTTACACTATCAGGTGTGTAAATGTGACCTTGTGTATGCATGGACTCGTACATTTGTACATTTAATGGAAAAACTGGGAAAAATGCAATGCAATGTGACTAAAGTGGAAATGTTGGTAAAGAATATCGTGAATTTTTTTTCAGAAATGTGAATCATGAAATCATAATCCATTATAGTACAGATATTTGAAAAGAAGGGGGAGCAGTGAGAACCGGTGAGATGATTTACGCTCCACCAATGGGACCGAGTCTCGATTGGCGGCCCCAGGCAGTCAACGTTCCTTAGAAGATTGCCAGCTGCAGGCTAACAATAAAGTCGTATGCTACAACTCTTAACCTACATTTAGTCACATGCATGTAAGAACTGGGGCACTGAGTGTGTAAATGTAGGTTAAGAGTTGTAGCATACGGCTTATTGTTAGCCTGCAGCTGGAAATCTTCTAAGGAACGTGTGGCAAGACTGTTGTGAAGTGTTTTTCTCCGTCCGTTGATAGATAACACAGATACTTGAAAAGAAACAGTGGGATGATTTTTTGTCGACAAATGGGATTCCATAGCCTGGGTTCCATCCTGGTTAGTTTACGTCCGCTCCTACAGTCGCTACCACCACTGTAGGAGCGGACGTAAACTAACCAGGATGGAACCCAGGCTAGGGATTCCATTGCCCCAGGCAGATTCTAAATTCTCACACGTGACTACATGTACGTCACGTCTAGCACGTCGGCAGAACGTACTGCACCTGCGCAAAACCCGTAATGCATTGTGCATAGCACTTCAGCAGAATGTCTCATATAAGGTTGTATTTGCTCATATAAGGTTAACATTCCTACAGTAGTTTTCAAATGTTATGTCGGAAAAGATATCCTTTGCAACAGGCAAAATTCTGATGCAACGTTGACCAAAAATCCAACGAAAACCGCGAAAATCCAGGGTTCTGCGCAGGCGCAGTACGTTCTGCCGACGTGCTACGTCTAGCATTTGACTTTATTGTTAGCCCGAAAATCTTCACTGACGGCAACGCGTGTAACAAGAATGTTGTTTTCTCTCCGTTCGTTGATAGATAGAAACATCCTCCTACGACAAGTTCAACGCCAAGAGCTACCTGACGCGTAACTACCGCGCAAGGCCTGATGGGATACCTGACTCTCCCGAGGACTGGTTGCCATGGCTACTCAAGAACCTGAAGGACACCTTCGCGGGGGGTAATAAATTTTACAGGAGTACATACTAGTAATACTTCTCCACTAGTACATACACGATTACACGTACTACAGGTTTTACTACTAAATATTTCAAATGCTTCTCAAACGCACGCAACAGATCAGATTCGCCGGAATTACGACGGTTCCTCTGGTCTTCTTCAGGATAGCTGACTGCTCAGAACACGTGGCTGTGTGACGCAGGCATCGGGTCAAATGTGGTTTGGAGTTGGTAACGGCCCCCGTCCCGTCTCAACGATGTTGGTACAGTAGTTTGATGTAACAGATAGACACAGGAAAACAAAACTTCACTGATTTAGGGCGTTCTTTGCCGCTAAGTCTAACACGCACGATTATGTACAAACACTGTTACAGACAAACAACTTGAAAACACCCGTCTTGAGTGATGGTTCTTTATAACCATGATCTTCGTTATCAGCTGTACAAACTAACACGTACGTATGTACCTACTGCTCTCTAGGCGAGCTGTCTGGTGAGAGGCTGCTGGATGTTGGGACCGGCCCGGCCATCCACAACCTGATATCTGCCGCCCGCCACTTCCCGAACATCACATGTGCAGAGTTCTGTCAGGTAGGACCTTCTTCAGTCAATATTGACCATGGCAAAATCCTAATTGATATCAGTTTTACTATGGTTGAATAGTCCTATAGGAGAATGGCAGCCTCTGCTGACTCAGGTCTGTTGCAAAGTTCTCACCGGGTCCGCTTCTTTTCTGAACAGCTAGTGCATCAGTCCAGTAGCTTCCCATGATGTCAGCTGCCTGGATAGTGCACAACCTCCAAATAGGTCGGCTATCCCTGTGCAATCAGATTGCCTTGGAGAATTCCTCCTCTAGGCCAGCACGTACATGTACGCTTTGCCACAGGAAGATCAATTAAGGAAACATTGTAAAAAGTACTGAAGAGGCATAGTAATGCAAGGGAATAGGTGAAAAATAGAGGGAATTATTAACATTAGATCTGAAGTCTAAATCTTAAACTCGTAGACAAAGTTATTGGAAGGTAAAATAAAGGTGAAGACAAACGTACGTTGATTTTGTACCTCGCCCTGTCTTTCAGGAAAACAGGGAAGAGGTTGAGAGGTGGATTCATGGAGAGGAGGACGCGTTCGACTGGGACCCTTTCATCAAATATGTGTGTGGACTGGAAGGGGAGGAGTAAGTATTCAAATGTCTTACTAGTTTCCCAAAGAAGAAGAGACCTATAGAAGAACCAAACATTGGATGGCTCATCAGAAAAAAGCAAGTGAACGTACAGATGATTCGGGTTGCTACGATTCACTTTTGGTTGGAGCATTAAAAAGAATGTGGGCAACACTTCGTAACTATATTTATAATTCAACCTGTACAACTACAAGTGACCACCTCTTCAGCAGGACCACCTAGCCAACGTGACAACATTGGCGCAATAGTGGCCACATGTTCCCATAAACCAGATTATAACGGTTCCATGGGTGGTCTTTATAGGCAGTTTGCCTGTCTGTATGATGCAGTGATAATTTCCAACTTGAATGATCACGTAACGTGTAAATATTTTAATGTCAGAAACAGCTCAAGTGCCGCAATTCCTGTGTAACCTTGATTACATCTATGAACGTAATTCAGCTTTCACTAATGTTCATGATTAATTAATAAACCATTTTTGATTGGTTGATTGTCATCTGCAGTGACTGGGAAGCCCGCAAGGAGGCGCTGCGTGACGCCATCCAACACGTGGTGTTCTGTGACGTCAGGGACAAGAACCCCCTGGGGGCGATGAACGGTGGTCCGTATGACGTCGTCAGCAGTATCTTTACATTATGTGGAGCAGCGAAGGATAAGTACGTAATAACTGTACAATTATACGGACCGTCGGGTCTTCTGTCTGATACCAATAAGCATTCGAAATGTGACACCAATGATCGTGTCCGCGTCATAAAAGATATAACATCCGCTTCCATACGAGTTTTTATCTCATAAAAGGCAAAGCTATAAATGAATTCGGACATGGACGTTCTTCCTCCTACCTAGCCCAAAAAAAGACTCGTGTCCATGACCAGTTATAATGAATTAGATTAAAGCTGCATTATATGATATTTTGGCGACAAATTTGAAAATATCATAGTGAACAAAACCTTGTAAATTACCAATACAACTACTTTTCATTATTCCCAAGTCTGGTGTTACTTCATCAACTATGCAAAAATATGTTCATATATCGGCCAATGAATTTGTGAATTTGTTTGACCTTCACAATATAGACTCCATTGTAACTTGTATTCTTATTTTTGCTGATTCAGGGCTGATTTTGACGAGATCGTTCTAAATGTGGGTTCTCTGGTGAAGCCTGGCGGAACTCTGATCCTCGTTTGTGACTTGGAGGCGACTCAGTACTCCGACGGTGACATAACCTACCCGCACACGTTCCTGGAGGCCTCTTACATCAGGCAAGCCGTCAGGAACAGCGGTTTCACGGACGTAGAGGACGACATTCTGGACTTCAGAAGTACCGAGGGTCGACCGGGTCTGAACTGGAACGGAACCGGTTACATCTACCTCACCGCACGCAGGTGTTCAGAGTAGTAGTGTCAGCTACTGTCAAAACTTCTCAAATACCACTCAGAGCCAGTCAGAGGACCAAATCTAGTTTATGTGGAGACACTAGTGATCCAGGATTCGTGATGCCTGTGTGTGTGAATGGGAAAAGTAACGTATCCAAAAGTGGTCATAATGGCTAACTGGTCGTTATGTAGAGGTGGTAACTTGTACAGGCTTGACTGTACATCAATGGCCAAGTGGTTGTTATACACAGGTTTAACTGTACTAGTATATCAATGACTAGGTGTTCATTATGTACAGGTTGTCAGTTGTAAAGGTTTGACTGCGCATCAATGGGTGGTCTTAATATATAGAGAGATATGGTGACTGGTGTAGTCTAGGTTGTGTCTATGTTTTCCTTCCAGACTCCTTTGTCTGCTAATGGAAAAAAAAATAGAACTTGGCCAATTGGCTCAATAATTCTATTAGTAGTAATTATAAGCCATCCATAGAGGTGCAGTTGTCAGCAAACTTCTCTGACAAATCATTAAGTCCACTTAATACTTCTATGGCATGGTAATCAGGATAGCAAAGTGGTCTGGTAGAGACTCTCTCTCTCTACTGACCATCCCAACCAAGTACTTACATGTATGAGTAACAGTGGCTTAGTTTGTAGATGTGAAATGGAATAATGTGAAATTGTAACACTATAAATGGAGATCAAAATAAGGCAAACAAATTGTGGAGATGGAGGATGACATATAATAAAGTGACATTAGCATAAGAAGTTCTGTTTTCTGTTTTGTGTAATGCATGTTTTGTGTATGACTCTTTGCAAGTAGTAATTATCTAACAAAGGCAGATAGTTACACTCAAATTCATGCCATGGTATAGTAGGTTATGTGCAGTTTAGCTAAGACAACAAAAATACATGTACCAATTGTACTACTAGTAATTATCCACACCTTTACCGCAGACAAACTCAAGTGGTGACAAAACTTGTAAGGCTTGCATGGTAACCCCATGGGAGGGAGGGTGGGTTACAAATCTCTGGCCTCACCGTGCTGGCGACAGAGAGAGCCTAATATTGGGTAGGTGGGTAGGGAAGTGTGGTGTCCCCAGGTAAGTCTTATTAGGCCACACCAATTTAACTTGTTGTTTCTCTGTATTTTTCAGAAAAAATATGAAGTGACAGGGCAAAAAAAAAAAACAGGCCAAGGCACCCAATGAAGGCCGGAAATGTTATGATATGAGCCATGAGGTCAACATACCAGGCTGGTTTATAATCAAAACAATAGATTTTGCACTTTTACTGAAACAAAGTTGCATTGTTACATTATAAACTTTAACAACTAGGTAGAAAAGGACTTTCTTCAACCGTTGGGGCCAAAATATTACAAATACAACAAATTAAATTGGTGTGGCCTAAAGGTCATATGGTTGAAAATTAAGGTCTTATGGACAGCTGGGACATGATAAAATCTGGCACCATATTTGTCATTTCCTGTGCACACCTTGGGTTACAAAAGCACTGTCAAGAAGAATGTTTACACAAGGTGATTAATGTGTTAACATTTCCTCTCTCGGTTAGCTGGTTGGGCCAAACCATTCTATTATGATGGGATAGCGAATTAAGACTGTTTACAAAAGAAGTTTTGCCTTGAGTATGGGATGACAGAAATTGACGATTTGTAACAATCCAAGCCTGAGTTAGTCTATTACGTACTACAGTCTATCCTATACTTTCTAATTTTGAATTGTAACATTGAAGTAATAATGGTTGCGCCACAGTGGGTTAAAGGTCACCGCCGCATGCGCAGTGTTGCTGACAGATTTGGGCGTTTCCCGATCCAGATACGCCATTTTGTTGCAGTGGAAATAATTCTATATTGCACCAAAAATCGGTAAGTTGCATTTTCAAATCTTGTTGTTGCCTGTTCGTAAGGGTGATATGATGTTACTGAGACAGAAAATCTTACTACTTTCAAAAGTTTGAGTTAAATGATCAGCGTACAATCGTCGATCGGGTATCAAGGCACGACCGGTTAAACATTTTGTCATGGACAAACTCGGATCAGGTTTGAATTTATGTCAGCTTATGTACAATCATGTAGGATTGTTAGAATTCAACTACGGCTACACCAATTTGATCTGTTGGTTCTCGGATTTTTGGAAAAAATATGACGCAACAGGGCAAAAAAGATTTAAAAAACAGGCTTGGTCAAAGCATCCTATGATGACCAAATGCTATGATAGGAGCCATTAAGTCAACATAAAGGGCTGGTATAATTCAAACAATGAATTTCATACTTTTAGTCAAACTATTGCATTGATAGAAAAACTGTAACAAGTCTGAAGAGAAGGGACTTTCTTCTACTATTGGGGCCAAAATATGACCATTTTCGAGCTGATTCAGGGTGGATTTTTTTTTCAACTCAGGAAAAAATGAAGCATACAAATCTGAGAACCAAGAAATTAAATTGGTGTGGCCTAAGTACTTCTAACATAGCATGTTTTCAATTTCTTGAAGGGTTTCTTTCTATGTTCTCAAACCAACTGCATGTTGTTCTCATTACAGTGTGCCAAGTCTCAGGAAGAAGATGGCTACTGGAGGGTTTTCTGACATAGAGGGTAGGGCCCGGCTGCAGAAACTACTCATAGGTTATGGAACTGACCTGCTGAGGAAGATATTCGACCGAGAAGTGCTCAAAGTGAACCCCCAAGGTCTCAAGGATCTGCTACAGAAGAAGAGAGATCAAAAAGTATTAAAGGACTTGTATCAAGATCAGCAGGAAATTTTGTTCCCATCCCCGACAGACGCTGCAGACAGTTCAAAAGACTTTGACATCACTCTTTTGTGCAATCTTTTGAGGAAGCTCTGCAACATAAAAGCACCACAACAATGGGGCAAACCACCAAAGCCTCCAGCAGGGGACATGAGTGAACTAGCTTGGATCATGCGACTATACCTGTTCAGAAATGATTATGCACACACAGCAAAAACAGATTTGTCGCAGCAAGAGTTTGAAGACCTATGGGATGAGCTGTCTAAAATCTTGGCAGGACTGGGAGGGGACAGTAGCAAAATCTCCCTGATGAAAACTATGCCCATCACTGATGACCAGGCACAGACGTACATGAAGAAGTTTGAAGAGCTCCAACAGCAAGGAGAAGAAGTAAAGGATTTGGTCAATGCTACGGGTGAGGAGGTGAAGGAAAACATTCAGAAAATGTCAGAAAAACTTGATAACATGTCAATCACCTCGACAGCTCAACGGCAGAACCAGGAGCAACCACAACCCTATCGCCCATTTGTACTGCTGATAAAACCCAAGAGTGTCAAAAAGTGCAAAGGATGCAACAAAGAGTTCAAAGATCCCAAACCTCCAGAGAATCTTGTCATCCAACATGAAGACAATTATCCATACTATAACCCAACATTAAAGAAACGCGTGGATAAATGGGCAAATGGGTACTATCACGTAAACCTCTCATGCATTAAGTCAAAGTACCAGGACTTTGATCCTAACAAGGTAGCGGTGCCACCTGACACAGTAAAGTGTCTCCAAGAAGGTCATATTGAGTATTGCTGCAATCAGGGCATACCTTTGGCATACTTGACTACTCAGAGAACAGAAGCAGCAGCTTCCTCTGCGACAACTCCCTCTGTGACAACTCCCTCTGTGACAACACCCTCTTTGACTACTCCCTCTTCGACAACTGGACCCTCTTTGACAACTGGACCCTCTTTGACAACTCCCTCTGCGACAACTCCTTTTGCCACAGCTCCAAGCAACCTGATGTATCAGCACATGTGTGAGTACTGTGGAAAAACCTGCCGTAACAAAGGAGGGCTAACCAATCACAAGAGAGCCTGCCCCCAACTTCCACGTGGACAGTCTTCATAATCTTCATCACTAAGGGAGAAATTAGTAGACCCTCATCCCAGAGACGCTTGCAGCAATAACAGGCGTCAGGCTTTTGGGGCGAAACGTCAATCCCCCAACAAAAGCTGGACCCGTAAACTGTGGAATGAAGTATTAACAATGGATAAATCAGAAATTGGACTCTTTTGTTTTAAACAAATATTTTAAACAAATTAATGTTGTATACTAAAAGTTGAAGTTTGCAAACCCCTGTGTATAATACAATAGTCCAAAAACAATTCAATTCAAACCCTGGAGATGTAAGATTTATTAGCTATAATAAGGAGAAAAAAACCTGCAATATTCCTTATCAACTCTACACATTTGCAGTAATTGTCAAAATAAGCTTTTGTGATCATACCTGACGTACATGTAGTATGCATATGGGGGTTATAGAAAGACCATGTACATGTTACAAAACCTACATGTACATCTACCTGTACATGTACATTGTAAATACAGTGTGAATGTACATTGTATTTACAATGTACAGGTACATGTAGGTTTTGTATGAATGATACTTCTGAAACTAGGAATTGTAAATGAGGAACAATATTAAATTATAAAAGGAAAAATGTAAAGGTTGCAGAAAAAACATGTTATTGAACAATTTGTAAGTTCGAAGAATTATGCAGTAGAAATTTGGGCCATGCAGTTATAAACTCCTAACTTGTGCTCCTGTAAATAATTATGGTGGCTAATATAGTTCTATATTATTACATAAATTTTCACATTCACCAATACTTTGTAAATTTATAAGAATTGTCAATGCATGTGCAATAGTTGTGGTAGTTCATGGGAACTCTGCAATATTCACAATGTTCTTTATATTACTTGTTTTTAGAATAGTCATAGTGCATACCTGGAGAATCACCTGCTGAGGCGCTATGAGTGAGTTATATAGTGTATAACAAACATCTATGATGTTTGTTGCTGTTATTATTATTATATTAATTACTGATGATGTTATGAAAGTAACTAAATGTATGTGGGTAAGTTATGATAATTGGTGTTAAACTTAAGCAACATAAATTAGGTTCTTGGGTCTGATATAGTTTTGTGACAAATGGTGTTATAAATAGTATTAATAAGGCAGAATTAAAAGAGGCTCACAAGTCTATTCAACATATATACAGCAGAAGAGCCTGTCATGTAGCCTGGGTACCATCCTACTTGTATGCCGGTGCTCCCATACTCGCTTCCCTAAGAAGTGGGGAAGCGAGTGTGGGAGCCCCGGCATACAAGTAGGATGGTACCCAGGCTACCTGTCATGTGCTTTAGTGCAAATTCTTACAAGTTACATAATGTAGAATCCAGAGTTGAACTCTGAGGCTCTCTCTGTGAGGCCGCAGAGTGACAGTAGACTGAATAAAGCATTCAAGTGCTAGAAATTGTCAGACTTTTTCTTTCCTCATGTTTGGAGAGCTGTACATCCTCTAACAAAGACTTACCATGACCTTCAGGGAAAGAAAGTACTCTCGGTCTAGGCCATTTTTGGAAGGGGGGTGTCCTTGTAAATTGTATATCAAAGGTTTATCATGTCTGCTAATAAAATATAACAAGAGATAGGTCATAAGAGGTCTATAGGTAACGTCTTTACTTCAAGTATGCTAAAAATGTGCAAGAGAAATAATCCCCACGAAGAATCCATATCAAAATGGTTTATACCGATTGACTCATTGATTAAAGCATCAAAACGATAAGAATTTTTTGAGATACTGGTAAGAAACACTACATGTATAGACTTTGGGTGTACAATGAACAAAGCAATAGATTAATAAAATTATTGTAATTATCAATTATCATGATAATTTACTTTGTACGGTATTGTATCAAAATATTTCTATTCTGTATTTGT